CTTGGATCCACTTGGTCTCACCCTCTTTTTCTCCTTTTTCTTTTTATCTCATTCCCTTTCATCCACCGTGTACATATTCCTCTCCTTTCCTTCCGACCCCCTGATATCCTTTGGCTTAACAATGAAAAAAAAAAAGAAAAAAAAAAGGAAACCACCCTCGTGGACCGAAAAGTCGCGCAGCATCCAATCTGACTCTTCTCCTGAATTTAACGACGATTAGTATACGTCGTTCCGTTCGTGCCGGACGAATGAAAATATAAATTTTCTTCTTTTCCTTGTTTCGCAGATGTGCGCAGGCCAAGGTGAACTTTCGGGAGAAGGAGAAACAGGTCCTGGACAGCATCCTGGGCCCGGGACGTTACGACGCGCGTATTCGTCCCAGCGGAGAGAACGGAACAGGTGAATACAGTCTTCATTATCATCCACATAGTCATTGATCAACCACGTGGACACAAATGGCTCCATCCGATACCTCGGTTCATCCTTTATAAATTGTTATCCCCGTCAAGCATAACTCCAGCAGGTTTACCCTCCGTGCCGTTACACTGACGCTTAATGGTACTCGACCGAGGTATAAGACCAACAACAAAAATGGAGTACCTATTTGCGTTCGCCGTATTAAATTCCCGGCTTACAAGGCCAAGGAACTGCCATATCGCCCGATGGAGATTGAGTAGGGATCCAAAGTGATATTAATTGCTTTCCTGGTAAAAGCAATTAATTAAAAAACATAGCAATTCCAGCGATTTATCAATCGGAATGAAAATTCTGCCTTGATACAGGGAGTATATATAGATATACAGTACACGTGGAGATCTGGGTCTATATACGTATATATATATATATATATATATATATATATATATGTATCAGGGGGACGAAAATCGAGCCCGGCTTGTCCCGCGGTGGTTGCGGCAGCGTCGCGTCGCTACTTGAACTGCAAGCGCCAACTCGTTAGCGCAGTTTTCATGCGAGCGACGTACCCCGTCCCCGATTCAATTTAAATATTTATCGCCGCCGCACGACGAGAGTTTAAGAAGTTCCTTGAAGCGAAACGATTACGGCCCAGGCTCGTAGGGAACCCAGAGAAAATTGTATTTCGATATAGGAAAGTCCCGCGAACGAGCCAGGGACGCCCCGCGAGGACCCTAAGAAGCTGTAGCCACAGGTAACGTCAAGGAAATTACAGCGTGACGAACTTTGCGTAAAATTGAATGCAGACAATGGCACCGAGGACCCGAAGGAATTAACTCTGCCTGACGGGGACACCTGAATTTATTTATATTCCCGATCGTCGACGGTCGAAACCCTTAAAGCGAGACTTTCTTTTTTTCCGTCCCTCCTCTTTTTTTCCTTTGTATTTATACCCACCAACCCTTATTTCTCAATATTTCACCGTCTTTTCCTAATTCGTTCGTTATATCCAATTTACGTTCACCCTGAACCGACAACGGCGACATCTGCACCAGCCGCGTTTCCACCATCCTGTCCCGGTTGCAGGTTGGGCGCTAACCAACCCTTACGCTGTTAAATATTCCTCCCGGTGGCAGCTACTGAAATGCGGCCCCAACTGTTGTGTTGGCACTTGTATGTGTTTCACAGGATGCCAGGAGGTCGCTTTCGGGTTTCGGTGTCGGGTTGGTGGGGGGTGGAGGGTGGGATTTAAATATTCCAATTAACGCAGCGACTTAATACTGCAGTAACGTCGCAGTGTTTGGCGGCCGTTTACGAGGCTGGAATTGCAAATTGTTAATATATTTACATATTCATACACATGTAATACGTTGAAACACCTGCAAATCTCTTGGAGAGCTAGTGTCAAAAGGACACCGCGCGCTTCGGTGGTGGTTATCGCCATTTTATTTTATTGTCATTCAACCTTTTTTTTTTTTTTTTTTTTTTTTTTTTTTTTTTTTTTTTTTTTTTT